GTATATTAGACTGCTTCATGTTATGTTTCAGTCATATCCAACCCTTCAGAGTCAGCCATATTCTGATTGTGTGAAATAAAAAAACAAGGTATAGTAGATAAACCTGCTTCCATGTTCATCCCAAACTTTTTATAACAAAAAATAGATACACAGCTGTCTGGAGCTGACAGCCTTTCAATGGACAAAAGTATATAAAATTGAATATCGTTAGGAAAAAGGCTTTGATAGACAAGTACCCAAATTAAAGGTTTGGATTAACGTTGCCCTTAAAGTTACGTATTCGGATTCAGACTGTGTCATATCAATTCAAATTCACACTGTTACCTGGTTAAAGGAGAAGCCACAGTTTGCATGTCCATAAATGAGACTTTCTGTCTGCGGTGGAACACAGGGGAGTCGTCATCAGACAAAGAGGACATAGTCGACACATTGGAAGAAGAGGCGGTTGCTGATCGCTCAAATGTTTCACGGTAAACAGACATATCTGAAATTCATGGAGAAATATATTTTGACTTATTTTACAGCTTGCATTTTGAATACAATCTAGACAAATGGTGTTATAAAGCAGAATTGCACATGTGACACTAATGTCTGTAAGTGTGGCATATTATAAAGAAATGGAGGATTGAATGTGTGACTTACGTCTTCTTTCTAAATAGGCATCAAGTCTTTTGTTCAGATAAACGCAGCCGTCACTCTCCATTACATAGGAACCAGTTAGGTTTGCTATCTCTAGCTACAGATAAGAGAATAGGCACAGAATAAAATAGTAGCACAACACATGATAAATGAAATGTGATGCATCCAAGTGGTGAACGCATGCACTTCGTAGCAAATCAGAAAAAAAGCTTTCTGCTTACCTCTGAATTAGATTCCATCATGTTCAGAGTGCAGCGGTCATTCATTATATCGTGGTACACAAGCAACAAAAGCACCTGGTGGCATCACAAAGAATAAGTGAGATTATGGTCCTCTGTTTATGTTTGTATTTGTAATTATGTTTGTTTCATACCTTTGCAATTTCTACTGTGAGATGTATCCCATCTTTTATGTTGTCCCAAGATAATGAAGTGCCTTTGGCTGCATTAAATCTGCAATCCCCTAATAGCAAAATCGATAGAATAGATAGATGGAAAAAGAAAAAAGCAATATGTCACATATGTGAAGGTGCCAAAGTGTAAACTTCAGACCACGCCCAACAATGTCACAGGGAGTGGTCTGGAGTAGCACATTTGAAATGTTTAACCAGAAGACGTTAGATTAATCAATGCCTTACTCTGAGCTACTTCACACAATTCAAGAAATTCTTAATGATTTTTGCTGTGTCAAGCACTGTCAGATGACAATTCAAGAGTCTTCTGCAAGCAATCAGTACAGTGACAGGTCTAGAACACGGTAAGCCTTCTTAGCACAAAACTGGAAGCAAGCTAGACTTAAAATCACATTAAAGCAAAATCTGAAAATATATATTTTTTTAAGGTATAGAAACTCACTTTCCAAAAAGTCTGCAATGAGCTGGAATCGATCCTCCATAGTATTACTGACACAGGAGTTGGGTTCCTTTTTCCTGAGAGGACAGAAGGAAATAGGAATAAAGTGGAGGTTTAGAGAAATTATCATCTCTATACTTCAAAAAGAACCCACTTACAAGAAAAGCATTTTGAAAATGTAGTTCAATCACTTATTTACACAGAACAAACATGTCATCACATGATGCTCCCTGATAGCTACTACTTACAGCATATAAACAACTTTCAGTAAGACTGTCCCATCTTGTAAATCGTCGACAGTCATTTCTCGCTCAGACAGTTTTAAGTTGTTTACCTGCAAACACATGACATTAGTTTGACAAGTTGGGTAAACAAACGATTTAATAATGGTAGCTACAATCAACATATTGGCACTATATGACCAAGTTTACTTTCAACTTACCCAGCTCAAAAGAGCCTTTACACCCAAATTCATCTCGGCTGACCCTTTTTCCCCAAAGGGATTTCAACCTGAAAACGTGGAAACAAACAAGCCTTATCAGATAACGAATTAGCAAATATAAGCATTGACTTTGATTATTGACGTTCACAAGTTTTCATCCAAAACTATGTTAGTTAACGATAGGCAAGGCAAGTTTATTTATATAGCACCTTTCAACACAAGGTGCTTTACAAAAATGAAAGACATTCAGACAAAGGCATTTAAAAACAGTCATTAAAAAGAAACATTAAAAGAAAAAATACATGAATAAAAAGTTACAGTGCCGTTTAAGATATGAATTAGGGATGCACGATATTGGAAAAAATGACATTGGGATTTTTTTCCCGTGACTGTTGAAACTCAGGTCAGAGTCCACGACCACACCTAGATTTCTGGCTTTATCTGTTGTTTTGAATATTGCAGACTGAAGCTCAGCGCTAACTTTTATACGTTCTGCCTTATCTTCAAAAACAATTACCTCAGTTTTGTCTTTGTTTAATTGGAGAAAGTTCTGACATATCCAGTCATTGAAATAAGTAGTTAAAGTTAACGATACACCTTGCGAAACTTCTGGCTTGCATGTTAGCAAAGTTATTGCAACTTCTAACATATAGTCGTTACTCTAACGCTAACTGTAACCTATCGAATGAGTTTATATTTAAAGACCAACGATGATAAAGATGTGGCTTACAAACAGTGACTTACCTTGAAAGTAGTTGTCCTTTTTTTATGTTTCGTATTATTCTTTCTCTGAAAAGGGACGCAGCCACCAGACTACCTGCCTAAAAATAAACAGTGTCCCGTGCAAAAACCACACTATTCAAAAAGGGTAGTTTAAATTCAAATCAGCCAATCAGGTTTCAAATATTGAAGCGTCTGAAAATAAGCGAATCTGATTGGTTGAAATGCATGACGTCTTTAAAGTTGCGCTTGTTTTTCACTCCGCAGCCTTTCGGTCTAAAGTAGGCGGAGACAACTGACGTTTAAAAACCAAATGCACCCAGACCACCCAGACAGTATTAAGTTATTGGGTAATATCAAGCCCCCAGGAAGTGCGCCGGACATCCATGGGAAATATTCACAGTGGACATTAAAATGTTGCTTGGTTCAATTTTCTTCCGTGTCCGAATCATTACGTTACACGAGGGCCAAACAAAACATTGCTCCCGCTTTGCAGCAGCAGGGCGCAGGCACTGCATGTTTTTGTTTAATGTTTCCATTTATGTTAATTGAATTGTAGTTTTTAAATTACTGTCTGGTCATTAATGTGTTTACCTTACTACCCGACTCCGGATAAGTGGTTGACGATGGATGGATATTACAAGACTTGATAACTGCATACGAAATGATTATTTTTGCAAATGTATTGTAAGGTGTTTCGAGCAAGCGAGTAACTATACATGCACAGTTAATAATTGATAGGCAGCATGTGTGCTCCTTAGCGGCTTATAACTCCGTAATTATCAAATGTTATACAGTGTGTAGCCTATAGGATTAGAGGTCTTTGGATATTACTTTGGGCAATTGCAATTTAAAGGTTATCTTGATCGATAATAAACCCTAACTACAAATCCCATGTACCTGTTGGTTGCCGTGGAAACGCCGTGTTGTATCTCCACAGGCAGGTAAAGTGTAAACACGGGTTGCTCATTATTACCCTCAGTTAAATAGCGTGTTGCTGAGTTTGTTGGTAATTTTGAATAGGCCAACATTAAATCAAGGTAGGTTCATAACCGGATGTAAAAGGGAACAGAAGGTATTCAATTGTGTTTATATACAAAATATAAGAACTGCAACGTAACAGTTTGTGGCCGCTCCGTAAATTACTGGGTTATGACAGCAAAGCTATGTGTTTGAATATTCGTGATATACGATGTTAAAAATATGAGGCTTTTTGTTTTTCAAATGAATTGCGTATGATCTTCTTATTTACGATGAAGTCACTGTCCTTCAACAGGTGACTGAAATAGAGGCGTGATTATGTATGGAGCTCCAGTGGATTTATCTTTCAAAAATATCTGCAGTTTGGAAGGTATACACTTATACACAGGTTTATAATGTTACTGTGTAGCCTAAGCGTCTTTGAGTTTCATGAAAAGCGCTATAAAAGTCCCATGTATTATTATTATTATTGTGTTTATTTTTATTATCTTTGCTTTTTAATGACTGTTTTTAAATGCCATTTTCTTAATGTCTTTCATTTTGTGTAAAGCACTGTGAATTGCCTTGTGTTGAAAGGTGCTATATAAATAAACTTGCCTTGTAGCCAATACTATTGTGTGATTCCTACCTAAACTATATAATGACGACCTCTGCTAATTTTACCTTTGCTTAAATGGCTGAACATTACAGTGGATTACCATTAAGTTATCTAAACATCAGGGGAACAAAATCAGCATATCTCCAAAAATATGAATGGTCTAATGTACTTTGCTAGAAAAAAATGAAAATGCCTATAAGATAGCTACTTCATGCGGAAGACAGTAATACATAAAAAGGCACATGTTAAATTAAGCAGGGTTAACAACCCACACCTAAAGACACAATATATGTTTATATATTCTATATATTGTTTTATATAGTTATCTATACATATATCTATGTATATAGTTTAAAAACGTAACATATTTTAAGTTCAATGGACATTGACATAGACACAATACACATACAGCTGATGCCTTGGAAACAATGTTCACCATATAAAAAAATTGTAACAGAAACTATTCAATTCAAAGTATATTTTTCCCTTTTCTTGTGTCTCAGACGCATGGACTGAAGAACCCAGCAGGGGTCTGCGGCCTTTAAAGAGAAATTCAGAGATGAAGTACCCAAGCTGCTCTCTACGTCTCAATAATAACAACATCCTCGATCTCCATGACCTCCAAAAGACGGTTAACTACTTCCTGGCCGAGCCTTCACAGCTCGCCTGGCTGGACCTCTCCTTCAACAGCATCTCACACATAGATAAAGTAATCTTCCTCTTTCCTTGGATTAGCATGTCTTCTTTCTCCCACAGTACATCTGCAATATGCATGTACATGTTTGTGCTTGTGTTCCAGGTTTTGTGCGAGCTGCGTGAGCTGCGTGTGTTGTATCTTCACGGCAACAGCATTTTCATTCTCTCAGAGGTGGACCGGCTGGGAGCACTACCACATCTACACAGCATCACTCTGCATGGAAATCTCATAGAAACCAACAAGGCTTACAGGTGGAGATTTTCCTTTAAATGTACCCCAAACACATTTTGCTTAGCTGTATGATGATACTTTTAATGATCAGTCATTGTTGTGTGGTTATTTATTTAAAAAACTGAGTGTGAATGAATGTGCAAAGACATATTTTTCCAAATCTTGCACTGAACTTTAATTTTGAACATATTTCTTGTACTATTTTTATAATATCTTTTTCATTTTCCTTTTATTTTTACTGTCATAGTCTATATTTATATTTTTGATTAAGCAGTACTTTCCTGTCATTGTATTTTATTTGTATACAATTGATTTTTATCGGATGCACCAAAACACCAAGGCAAATTCCTTGTAAGTGAAAACCCACCTGGCAATAAACCTTATTCTGATTCTGATTTAACAATATACAACGGTGACACTTTACTAAGATAGTCTATAGTTAACACTCTATAAGTCATCAGTTGACATTCAACAATACTGTTTCAACAGACAAGTAACATGCATTTAACTAACTGCCAGTAGAATATAAGGTACATCTCAAGTGTTGATCTATAGATTTTACAAAAAGTGTCTGTTGACTGTTAACTTTTGCAACAGGTTATTAACCGATATTCAACCTTACTATCTGTAGATTGTGTCAACATCTTCGAAATTGACAATCAACTACTCAAAATCAATCTGTCAGTTGAAAGTCAACAGGGTCGACTATCTGTTGATAATGTGTTGAGAGTCAAGATGTCAACTAAAGATTACATTAAGCATTAGTTGATGATCAACAGATAAGCAACTTTAGAGTTTAGTTGACTATTACATTAAGCATTAGTTGATGATCAACAGATAAGCAACTTTAGAGTTTAGTTGACTATCTGTTGATTTCTCAACTAATCTAGAGTTGACTATCAGTATACTTTTAGTAGGCATTCTCCACTAAGCGTTTGTAGGAATGTGTTAGGACTATCCAATTAAAGTGAAAAACAATTGAGAACAGTAGAAATTCTATAACCTATCAACAGAACACATATATTCATCCACAAATTATATGCAACAGACATTGGAATAAAGCGAAATGTTTTGCACAACTGATCACGAACACTGGATAACTGAAGACTGATGACTTATAGAGTGTTAACTATGGACTATCAAAATAAAGTGTTACCTATACAACTGCTGGTGGTTTGCTGAGTGAGACTCAAATACTTGGCAAGCCTGTTGGTGCTCAGCATTGTAACAGGTGCTTAAATGCACATCAAGCTCATGTTACAGTCCATATTCCAGTCTGCATAGCATCACCACAAGTGCACACAGAAAGAGAGAGGGGCTGCTGGTCAAAGGTCTATTCTAATGAACCGGGTTCTCATAAATCCTGAACGTTTTTGAATCATTTGTATTTAAATGTGTAACACCAGAAAGGGGAAATAAGGTTGGATTTCAACATTCAATTGTTGCAAGCAAAATGTATTAAAACGATTTAGTGCGTGTGCATCAATACTTGTTTTTGTCCCTTTAGGAATCGTGGGATTTCTGCTCTGCCTCAGTTGAAGACGATGGACTTCAGTGCTGTGACCCGACAGGAGCGAGTCATGGCAGAGATTTGGCATCAGAGCAACAGCCGCATCAGAAGCAACAAGTTGTTGAAATCATAGTTTCACCCAAATGTCCTGTGCCCCGAATCCATTGCTATAATCATTTCTAAAACATTGTTTGTTGGTTTGAATATTTATGGTTAAATCAGCACTTTTTTCAATGCTTTTGTCCAATTTCTTTGATGGAATTAACAGTTTGGGCATTAACATACTGCTGATGTGCAGCCACTTCACGGATATAAGCAATAAGACAAGAGTGCTTATGTTGAACATCTTTAATGAGATAATTAAACCAAAAAACAAACAAAAACAACAAATTCTTAAAACTTTTTGGTGCTAGCCTAAGATATATCAAACATATGTCAGGTAGTAGAACACATTTGAGTAACAAAGAAAACAGAAACAAATGCCAAGAACCCATTGCAAAAAGCTCAAATCAGTTGCGTGGTTGAAGTAATCACAGCCTTGCAGATCATCCCTTTAGAGACTGCTCCCTGCACACGCATACAGTCATGTGCTCTCCTCCAAAGAGCAAGTAAACATTTTAAAACACAAATAAATAATCACAAAAGGTCTCGGATCATTTTATCTGTTTTGGTACATAGGTTGTTAGCGCTCCCCCAAACTGCTACAATGGTTAGTTTCTGATTAATATGAGTAATTCAATCATATTATAGTCTGCAGCGAAAAGCTTTGCTTAAAAGCTAACAATTGCAGGCCTTAAAAGGGTTCTTCAGTTTCATAAAAACATTTGTTATCACTACTCAAATTTTAGCCAATCCTGACCAATGAACTCTCTACAAAAAGAGGAACTTCGTACAACTCACGTTTTTATGATCAATCAGAAAATTCTGTACAAAGGCGGCATGAATACATGATTAATGTCCGTGCACCCTACACCTGCCCACCCTCTGATCGCTGTAGGCCTCGTCTGCTATTAAATATGTGAAGTTCTGGGATTCGATTTAAAGAGTTTGCCAGATACATTTTCTCAGTGCTATTAAAAAAAAGCAGAGGACACATTACTGTCTGTAAACTCAAAACCAGAGACATTATGCCCACCCAGCATCCCCCTGCTTATGTTCGCATCCTCACCCTCCAGAGTACACCAACCATAAACAGGTCAATTTAGCCTCAAATGGAACAACAGATTACCCACTGGAGAACAAATAACCAACTACTTACTGATTACGTTTGGGTGGCAGGGAGACATGGTTGGTGAAGTGTGACACCAGATAACTGGGTTGTGTGATGCCTAAAGTCTCTGCAGCACACATCAGGACTGTCGAAGTAAACCGTCTAAATTATAGTGACATCTTGCTGACATATTTTCTTTACTTGACTATTTCTGAATGTTTTCCCAACTGACAACAGAGCTAAAGGCATATGTAGTGCTAACTTTATGCCATATTGCAAGTTTTTATCCTGGTGAATGGCTAAAATACCATTGTACTTGCACCTACAGTACTGTGGTCATTTTAATTCTTCCATGACACAGATATTTCTTATTTCTCCATGTTCCAGTGGAGATTGTATACACGCCAATAGCTGATGCATTGTGCCAGAAATCCTTCAACTCTATCCCAGCTAAATACACTGTGGGACACTTCCATGCCTTTATAACAGTCTGTTTGCCTGAGTGTACAGGCGAAGGGAACAAACTAAATTAAAACTGTGAGTAAAATTAGGGAGATCAACAAGTAGGATAAATTATGATTTTCCAGCTGGTTCTGACTGAGTCTGTGATCCACGCATTGCGTACAGAGGAGTAATTGTTGTAAATAATAGAGCACACCCCAATGGCCCTTCTATAGTAGACCATCTTCCCTTGCCCATGCTGATTTGTCACTGACCCATCATTATGTACACTAAATTAAGATGGCCATAGGGTGCAATCCTACATTGTTTCTGTCTTTATAGCAGTTAGAGGCATAGCTAAGAAGCAGAAAGGACTGAGATGCTTTAATTAATGGTGGGCTTGTGGGTGTTGATGCAGAAGTGACATAAAAGAGAGCGTGATGGGAGAAACAGTATGCAGGCCATGGTAGCAGAATCAGGGAATGGCAAACTGGACCACCAGTTCTTCTTTAGCATCCACTTTGATTTGTGAAATTGCACTGTAAGCATACGCTGCTATCTTGGATATCTGCAAAGAAAAAGAGAGACAGCGTTTATGTGGAGTTTGAAAAAAGATACAATTCACAGTTTCCATGTGTAAAAAAAAGACTAGCCTACTGTGTATGACCAACAGAATGTCTTGGACACAAACCGTTATAACAGAAAAGTATTAGATATCCTTCAAATCTATTTTCAGCCGCACACAAGTCCCACCCCCACACACTGAAATGCCTAACAGCTACATGTTGCAGGCCAAATGTCCCTCTGATGTTAAATCTAGCCAACAAGGAAGCACACGACAAGAAGCAATGTGGGGGGTAGAAAGACATGCCAACATTTCTCCCGTGTGCTAGTGTTTGATTACCTGTTGAACATCTGAGTATGGCACCAGGTCACTTGCAAGCACTTGGTGGGGCTGGCTGGTGAGGGAAGGGAGAGCGAGAGCTTTCCTCTGGGGCAGACTGTTACTCAACACAGCCAGCTTAGTACTGAAACAAAACAAAAGCTGTATTATCAAAGCTGTATGAAAGAGGTTTGGTTAAAAAACAGTTTGTCACCTTGAAGCTTAAAGCGGATTGTTGTGTCCTCAGAATCTCCAGTTTAATCTGCACCTGTACTTTAGACTAAACACAGCTGCTGTGTTTGGCAGAATTCTAGCCACTAGACATCATTGTACCTGAGGTTTAAGGTAAAGTTTGAGGGCATATGCCTACGCTTTTTCATTCGTTTGTTTTTATGTAATCACTTCCTCCATTTCATTCTCAAGTCCTTGGGTGGGTGTTGGAATTTTAAAACATTGTTTTCAGTTTCATTCTCATCCCCTTCCTCTATGACAGCACACACCATTACATGTCTTTGGATATAAAGCTGGCTCATGTCTCAGTAGTTTTCAAGGCTGATCTCTCTTTCCCATTAGATAGACATTTGTGAGATCTAGTATAACCAGACAACACAACCCAGTAATGCTCTAAACAGTGTCCATTCAGGATGTACAGCACAAGGTTGGCTCAAAATCGTACAAACTAAGAAGGTTATCATTAAATGGCTCTCATAACAAAAATACAAGCTCTTTTAAGTGTTTATTAGCTGCCTACAGGTATGATTCCTCAAGTAAATGATAACCGTCCTTTGGTGCACACTTGTCTGAATGCAGACAATGATTATTGTTATCAATAACTATTATCTTTCTTAACAAGAAGGTAAAAGCAAAAACAGAAGATGCCCTCATTGCAATAAATACAATTGGATTGCGGCACAGAAAACAGGAAGACAGCAACCCGCTGGACAGTATTCCTAACGAGAGGAAGAGCAGGACACAGTAGGACTGAAAGAGAGACCTAATGGCGGGCACGTTTCAGTAACTTCCCCTCTTTCAGGGCTCTCTTCTTTTCTGCAATTTCCTCCACAGTTGGGCGGCTGATCACACCCATCCCATACAAGCAAAACTGCAGAAACCAACGAATACTGCCTACTGCTCAGTCACATACCTGTATTGCCTAGCTTTGTCCATGTATTCATGCTGCTCCATCATGACAGAGTCAGCTGCTGAGACATCAATGATGTTCCTGACAGAGAGGAACAAATGGCAGTTTCATTAAAAGGAGTGTATGAATAACTGCTTTATTATTAGGAAACATGCTGAATCTGGCTCGTCTGTGTGTGCACGAAGGACTGTCTTACTGTGCCGTCTTAGTGAGGATGGATGTAAGGAGGGCCTGCTCATCTGTCCTCGCGGAGGGGACACTGGTAGTGATCCAATCGGTCCCATTTGGCGGTTTACTGACAGGGTCCGGGTGGGGGATCAGCGGCTTACGTTCATTACGCTAGAAAGGATGATCAGAAAAAGAATAAGTACAAACGTTTTCGGCTCATGACATTTTAATGAACTGTGTAGCAATTCAAATGTACAGAAATAAGTGCCACATAAGATTCATTACCTAACTTTAGTTTTATGCAGCATGACATTAAACATGATCAATGATTGATAAGGAATAATAAAGTACAGTTTGACCCATCACAATTATTTCCCTCATTAGATACTTTATAATTAAAGATCACTCTCAAAATGTAACAATTAGATGTGGTGTCAAAGGCTTGATTTATCAACAGCACTAGCAATGCATTTGTCAACAACACAACACTTATGTTGTTACATTAAGTAAAGCTTGAGAAAGATGTAGGCCCTTTGTACATAGCATATTGAAATAGGCAACCCTTTCACTATTAGGTTTAGGCTGTACACAATATTCATACAAAAATTGTTATACAAGGGTTTTAGTATTTTGTAACCACAATAAATGTGTTTAAACCAAGACAAACCATTTCTCAGAAACGTTTTTCCTGAATTTTAGTCGTTTCCCTTTCCTTTTTTTTTTTTTTTACATACATACATATTCCCCTAAATTGCAGTAAAACTCGTAAATTAACTTTACAAATCATAAAAGTTATTCTATTGTACTATTAATGCAGTTATTAAGATAACAATAATAACTGCATGAAGGCAGCACGGACTAGTTTCCGTAAACTAAAAATAGCTAGGGTCATATGACACAACTCACATCAAGTACATGGTATCCAGAACATAAACCATTAATGGTAGTAGTCTGGAGGAATTAGACATATATTCATCTGCTGGCAAATATGGTGTTAACAGATTGGTTTAAAAAAAATAAAAAAAATGAATTTAAGGAAGTAACACTGATTTAACTAGCTAAACATAATGTCCTGATAATAGTAAAAATGACAGTTAATAGGTTGCCATATGTCTGCTTTTCTTCTGCGTTTGCCTTCAGATCTGTCAATTATCTTTTAATCTATTATGGTTTCTCATCTATGTGCCAACTTCACAGCCTGGGTAAGGCCTTTACCGAAGGCTTTAACTAGCATGCTAAATGTGTCATATCACTATAACTATTAAATGAATGGCCGGTTGATAACCTTCTCACACATTACTCAAATGCATTTCCCGTAAAATACATTCTCGATAAAAAACTATTGAATCACATAAGTTGTTTCTTTATACAACGTAACATGTATCGGGATAGACGTAGCCGGCTAGCAGCTAACTACCTGCTCCTGGGTATCGTTCTCGCTGCTGTAACAGCACCCCATGTCAGCGTCCGAGGGGCGAAACTACACAAGCCCGGCTTCTCCGTCAGAAACGAGCCGTGTTTATCTTCTCCAACATAAAACTGTTCTCCTGCGTAGTTTTACTTTAGCTTCATGTAAAGGTAGGAAGCTACTGTCAACAGCAGCTCCTCGGAAGAGCTATCACATGACAGCGGCTCTGGTGCAACAACACAACGACGACTTCCGGTATAAAAGAAGCAGCTGCGGACTCCGTCACGTGAAGGAGGATTTATTTTTCAAAAGGAGAGTTACGTTGAAGCCAAACGTAACGTTAGGACGGAGCATTAGGAAAACCATATTAAAAAAAAAAAAGAAAAGAAAGTAAAACGATCAAATCTTACATTTAATAATACTTTAAAGTCCCAGAATGCATGCCAGTGGTTTTGGCAATTTAGGAGAGAGAAGCCCTTTAACCCTCTATGGCATGACTTTTTATTTTGGGAGGAAAACAATGTTCACCATGTGTTTTAGGAGCTTAGGGGTCCCTGATATTATATCAATCTGTGCATGTAATGGCTGCTATGTGTAATCTGCTGTGCATGCAGATCACGCATTAGAAGTATATTGGATAAATTAACCTGCTAAATATTTTTGATATTGCTCCACTCTATCTATTTGCTTTTTAACCTCCATATTTTTATGATCTTAAAATNATGCCAAACCCATATAATTCCCTCATTTTATTGGACACCAGCATGTCAGGTGACATTGTGTATATTTAAAAAAATTAATATATTTAGAGGGCCAGTGTGAGGTCGAAAAAATTGGTTTGTTGCCTGAGGGCAACAGTATGCCAGAGGGTTAAATTAAGACTTGTAGTTTGTTACTGAACTCTATGTGTATAATAATTACAGTCTATAGCCTATTACCACACTACAACAAACCAAAGGCTACAGTTCTGAGGTTGTACTTGATTTGATCATTTCCATTCTATTATACTCTAAACTTATTATTTACAACATTCATTTCATAGCTTTTAATACTTTGCATGTTCTGATTATTAAAACTCAATACATTACATTGCATTAAGCTGCCACCTGTATCCAAAGTAACTTACAAATACACACTCACAAATGTTCCTATTTATGATAATCAAAGACTGTGTAGCATATTTTCCTGCGAATACTTTAAATATATATTTTTTTATTATAGAAATAGCCTACTGGTTGACCTCTGTGCATGTAATGGCTGCTATGTGTAATCTGCTGTGCATGCAGATCACGCATTGGAAGTATATTGGATAAATTAACCTGCTAAATATTTTTGATATTGCTCCACTCTATCTATTTGCTATTTAACCTCCATATTTTTATGATCTTAAAATGACTCTGCAAAGTCGCCAGCTTCAGTTGTGATTTACGGTATGCGCTACCCTGTGGTTGAGTAAAGCGCCAACTGGCACCAATTCATGTTTTTTATTTTGTAGCTATAATAGACGGTAGCACATTTAGTCAATTGAAAAACATTGCAAATATGTAATCAAGTGTGAGCTGTCTATACTACTACTACAACTATACTACTACTACTATGACTACTACTACTACTACTACTAAACAGAATCAAAAAGACAGCAGAAGGAGAAAGGAACAGGACGAGGCATGTTGGTGCCATGTGTCAGTCTCCCTGGAAAAAGATGAAAGGGTCTCTCCTACCCTCTGGCAGAGTATGATGACAGGGTACCAAATGTAGTTCTTCTCCCAATACATTTGTATTTCCACTAACCAATTTTACAATACTGACAGTAATGTTTTGCAAATCTTTTCATACACCAAACCAGCGTTCTGTTTGTTAACTAAAAATGCATTTAATGTAAGTCTTTGTATTCATCCTTAAAGCAATTATAGCTGTTTAGTTTATTTTAAACTTTATACAGAAATCATGATGATTCAAATAGATACTATTCCTGATTACAATTTTGGACTTGTAAAATGGCTTAAAATAGGCGTAATCTGTAATTTACTCTGTAAAAACAAATATGTTAGACCCGATTAAAAAAAAAAGTTAAATACAAAAAATATACAGGACACTGTGTAACCTTATTGGTCTTCATTTTCCTGCCACTAAGAAATATATAAATAAAAGACAAGTACGCTATAGCAATCTCTCAATCTAAATGGCATTGTTCAGCAGTGTAATCCTTATCAAAACATTATTTAATGTCCACAATTTTTACAAACAACATGAAAAGCGATTATCTCATTTGAAAATAAATATTATGATGTGTACAAATGTGCTTTGGAAAACTTTGAGTCAAAGTGCCTGACGATGATAGGCTAATTTTCTTTGTTACGTTTGGAGTTTATAACATGCGTGCCAAACTAAAGAAACAAACCGTTTGCAGCCTGAAACTATTAAATGTGGAGACAGGCAGCAGTCTGATGGGGTGGGATGATAACTGGGAGGCGCCTGCCCTTTCATTAACCCCCCGTTTCCTCCACACCTCATTGTTTACACCTTCAAATCCAGACAAAAGAGCAGCAGCTCTGCAGACTTCACTCTATTCTCCAGTGGAACAAAAAACAACAATGTTAGTTTCTGTGCTCTGCTTTGTTCTGTTTGGAGGAGTCACCCATGCCTCTGACACCGCGGCTCCTGCCCAGCTCGGGCCGCCGTCGCTGGGGCTCAGTTCCTCGGTCCGCTCGGTGTGTAAACCCATCCCGAGCACCCTGTCTCTGTGCCACGGGATCGGCTACAGGCAAATGCGGATCCCCAACTTGCTCGGCCATGACACCCTGAGAGAGGCCCAGCAGCAGTCGGCGGCCTGGCTGCCCCTCATCTCCAAGCTGTGCCACCGGGACACCAAGAAGTTCCTGTGCTCACTGTTCGCTCCGGTGTGCCTGCCGGAGCTCGGCGGGCCGGTCAGCCCGTGCCGGAGCCTGTGCGAGGCCGTACGGGACGGCTGCGTGCCCGTTATGAGCGCGTTCGGATTCCCGTGGCCGCAGATGTTTAACTGCACCCGGTTTCCGCACGGAACCGAGTTGTGTATACCGGCAACCGGAGAGCACGAAGGGCGGACGGCGGATGAGGTCAGGCACGAGGAGGCGCTTAAAGGTCAGTGGACGGATCTGTAGACCTACCCTTTAAAAACGGTTGTTTCAGAGGTGAAATAAGCATCTTTTACTCGATTTACGTGTAAGCCACAGTTTAAAGTAGGCTGATCAGCCTACTTTAAAGTCAACTTTGTAGGTAAAACTGTTTAGTGTCAAAATATGTATAGGCTATAGTATTTTTAACTAGGCCATCAAAAGTAAAAGTAGGCTAGCCTACTTATTTTGCAGTGGGCCATAATAATACATAGCTACCACAACAATATTATTGTATCCATGAATGTGTTCATCACTTTTTTGTTGCAGCATGGTAAAGGTGGAGCTCATTTAAATTGATTTATAGATTAATTGGTTGGTTCATAAAAGGTCAGATATTGATAAAAGTGTCCAGCACTGCATATTTTCAAAATCCAATATGTCATCACTTATTAGCTAATAGTAAAATGAATTGACAATAGTAAAGACATTTTTGAGCTGATTTGGAAAGTGTCTCTATTATATAGATTGTCCAATTTAGGGTCCTTGGCAAAAATGTTTGTTCGTGTCATGTTGTTTCTTTTTTCTTTTAAGAGACACTATTTGGCCTTTAATCAATATTTAAATTTAATATTTGACCTACCTACCTACCTCATAAAAAAGTTAATATGTTGCTAACTGTGTTGAATCTTTGATACTTTGAGTGCTGTAACAACTGAAATGTCCCTTCCGGAGATCAATGAATTCTTATTTTATCCAATGTTATCTTTAAGTTGTATTGCATGCCTTGATCCTGGAGTTTCTGCTCTTTAACATCCCCACCACAGACGCTCACAGTCATTGAATACTCTCTCTTTTCCTCCCCCACAGGGAGTGTTATCTGTGATGCCTGCAGTCTGGCTGCTGAAGGAGAATCTGACATCCAGGAAAACTTCTGCCAAAGTCCATATGGTGATAAAAAAACTACTTATTTTAATGAACTGATTAGAACACGGTCTACCAATCTGCATTATTGCTTTGTTTAGAAAGCAAATTAAACTAGACTTACATCACAAAGCAGGCCGCATCACATCTAATCATTGAGATGGAGAGATTGTTTTACAATGTGTCTGAAGTGGCACCTGTTGAATAGCATTGTCTCTGTTTCAGCTTTTAAGATGCGTCTGGGCAGTGTGACGATGGTGGGAGGAGACCGTCAGCTGGTGCCTACGGCCCGCAGCCGCATCCTGAGGTGGGCAGGGGGAGGTGCAGAGAGGGCAGAAGGGATTGGAGGCGCAATGGCCCACAGCGCTTTGTGGCTGCAAGAAGGAGGCACCTGTACTTGTCCTGGTTTAGACTCTGCAGTGACAAATGAAGACGGAGGGTTAGAGGAGGGACAGATGGATAAGACAAAAGCAAAAGAAGGAGAAAAGAAGATGAAAGGGGTCCAGAGTGGATGGTACCTGGCCCTGGCTCAGGCTGAGGAGGGAAGACTAGTGCTGACTCGACTGGTGAGGTGGACCAGAGGGGACAAAGATCTGAAGAAGTTCATCAGAGCAATGCTCAAACAGTCCTGTTCGGAGATGTAGACAGCGTGTTTTCAACCATTGCAGTCCTTCCTATGACCATAGCTTTGTGGTGCAGTGTGTTACTGTGTGTTGTTCACTGCAACACTTTTATATAATGAACAGCTGACAAATAGTTAACGCATAACACTGACTAAATCCCTTGTTTGCAGATCGTTAGATGTAAATTAACCAATTATTCACTAGTTATCTTAATCTGTTTGCTAGTGTCTTTGTTGATGAATTGTTTCTGATTAAGGGATTAAGGTGCTAAATGCCACACACTCGATAACAACTGAGTGTTCATTCATTAGTACATATATTTTGTATTACTTTACTCCACAAGTGAAATAGAGTATAGTTTTAACAAACTGACAAGCAAGAGTTTTTTTTACAGTGAACAATTATTAGACAGATAGCTAGTTTTTATACTTTTTGTAGTGACCTCATTATTGTGGAAATATTAAGCACATAGCGATAGTTAGGCAATGTTGCAAATGTTACTATACTGCCAAAAAGTGTAAAGGTTGATTTAATTCCAAATTGGGCCATATTTGTGTATTTTCTTTTGTATTTTGTGTATATTTGTATATATAAGAGATCACGAAGGGTTACCTTTTAATCAAGGTCAAAGGGTTTGGTAATGATTGCAGGGGTTTAGGCTGATCTCATCGCATATTTCCTTTTGATGCTTATTAAAGGTGGGGTAGGTAATTCACTTCAGAAACACTTTTTGTTATATTCCATGGAATGCTCTTAACATCCCGATAGCAATGAATATATTAAATGCTTTGACAATAAATACATAAAAAAAATTCATCTGTGGAAGCCGTGGCGCTGTAAAAAGCACGACCAATCATTTTAGCCGGCCCGGTTAAAATAACTGGATGGCCTACCTGCCTGTCAGCCTTCCATCTCGTGCACAAACTTATCTCGTGCCCTCATTGGTCATGTGCGCATTCGTGTGTGTTGGAGGAGGGGCTCTGTGAGGAAGTCTGAAGGAAGGGGCAGATTTTTTTCAGCTGCGTACTTTCAAATTCTAGCGCACTCGAGCTGGTTTCTCCTTTCTTACCTACCCTACCTTTAAGGGTGGAGCAGTCAGTGTAATTGTTGTAATTCCTGTAATGATAACAATGTTTTCTTGTACTACCTATAACAACGTTGTTACTATCCACGTTAATTATACACCACACAAATAATAGACATGCAAGTTTTTGTTGGTATTTTATCTTTTTTTTCCACAGTAGCCAGGTCTCAGTATTTAATTGAGTTAAATCACATGTTAGGAAGGTTTAATCTCAAGGGACATCAAAAAAGAAGCAGTGAAGAAAAAAAGCAAGTTGGTTGTGAACAATAAATCATATAGAACTTATCCTGTCTCTATTTTTGCATTCATTTTTTCCTGATCTGGTCTGCTCTGTCAACAAATGTTTTTTTGTATAAAAACTTATTAAAAATGTATTGATATTTTAAGAATTCATCTTTTTGCTGTATTTGTGTTCTGCTTGACCTTTTTATCACGACTCAGTGAAGAAAGAAATTTGATTCCACACAGTCCCACACCTGTTGCTGTTTACTTGGTATATCAAGTGTCGCACATTGTCTCTTTGTCTCACCGTCTCTGCTCCGATCTAAAGTATTGTCCATTTCCCAAATATCTGGACAAGATGCTATCTGTTTGTCTGATCAAAAATGACAAATACACTAGTTTACCAGCTACATGGTCAGTTATGTCCCTGTTAAAAGTCTATTAATTGGAAATAATTACAGGATATGTGGTGTCATACACGTGACACGTGAATTATTTAAACCCCCAGGTCTCTTACCTTCTCTAACACACACACACACAAACACAAACAAACCTCTCTGTCTTCAGTCACTGAAGGGCCACTTTCATCTTTATCATCTGCACTGTTACTCTGCTTAAGGCTAATTTCTCAGAAAATAGGTGAGTTTGTCTTCTTTTTTTTCATTGAGCAGTAAGTGAGACAGTATTTGGATTTAAATACTTGCTAAAGAGTCTGTTCTACGTGGTGCAGAAAGCCTGCGGAGTCTACGATTACCTGCGGTAGTAGAAACATCAAGACAGGCACAGCGCTTAATCTCACATCTACCACAGGACTCAGCATGAAGTTTGTTCCTGTGTAGATAATCTTGCATACATTAAAAACTCCAAAAGTTTGTCTCAAAATGTGGTCATCTATTTGAAATGTTTGTCACTCAAGAAAAACATTTATTTACTTTAATTCACAAATTAGTTTTCAGTATCTTGATGGTCTTACAATACCAGTTTTCAGTATTCTCACATGTACCCCTTTTGATGATATCCCCTTTTTCTTCACATTAACAAGAGATTTGTTTGTTATTTGTATATGATCTTTCAGTAGTTTTGTCGTAACAAATTAATGGTTGGATAATTGAACACATGGGAGATTAGAGAAGAACCACATTAGCTTTAGAGTCCTGATATCACAGAAAGTAGGCCTAATTGTCCATATTCATAAAGATCTGCACGCAGGCATCAGCATCGTGCCTCCATAAATGTTGATAACCTGAAAAGACAAATGACCTCACTTCCATTGACACTATAACTACAGACAGTTTTACAAACCTTCAATACAGACTGGTAATACCTGTTTGTGCGTCAGATTATCATAAAAGCGTTGATGACTATCAGGATGTATTGGCTGTATCATGCTGCAGTTATGGGAGGTTATACTATTGTTTGGCAATAAATACTGGTGATAAATACATAAGTTCCTACTCTACTTGACTATTAATATCAGAGGGCAAAATGGCAAGGTGATAATAATCATAATTGTTGTAGTTATACTAAAAAATGAGGGTGATTTGTTGATTGATAACGTTTTTTTTTCCCGTGTTGCCTTACTTCCTCACAGCAGAAGCAGGGCAGCAGAATTAGATAAATCCATGGAAGTAAAACAAAGAGTAGGGTTATAGAAGGAGAAAAGTCCTGCTGCCAAACTTGTAAAAGCACATGAATACATTTCACCCACCCATAGTATAAATTCATATTATAAGTTAAAATAACAACTTTCTACCTAATGTTCTGATCACAACTGAGTGTCTTGTGAATGTACCTGTGTGTTTTTCTTTGTACAGGATGGTGTCCCCTGCTATTGCTCTGGCCTTCATCCCCCTCCTGCTGACAGTGCTTATCAGGTGCCGTTTCTACTTTGTGCTGTTCTATCGGGCGGTCCTGGTCAGGATCTGGAGGGACTGTGTTACCGGCCTGAGTCGAGAGGAGCGTGCCTACCAGTACGTTCTCACTCACGCCACCCCCGGAGACCCCGACAGCATCCTGGACGCCTTCGATGTCTGGTGCAGCAAGGTGGAGTTCATCAGCACCATTGGGCCTAAAAAGGGTGAGGAGATCATTCACAATAAACAACAATGTATCTGGTCACAAGCATGATTTTTACATGATGTGTTTTTGGTGTGTAGGGAAGGTCCTGGACCGGATGCTGATGGAGCAGAGCCCTCTGACGGTGCTGGAGCTGGGCTCCCACTGCGGGTACACCACAGTGCGCATCGCCCGCTCTCTTCCCTTGGGTGCCAGGCTCTACAGCGTGGAGATGGACCAGAGAAATGCTGCTATCGCCGAGAAAATCATCCGCCTGGCAGGGTTTGATGATGACACGGTGAGAGAGCAGGAACATTTAAACACTTTATGGTGTCCATTGCTCTCCATGGCCATAGGTATTCTCCTTCACTTGTTTAAAGCACATACACCGGTTTACAGTCCACTTATTTATATATTATTTCAATAAGCAGTATTTTATTCCACAGTACAGTATTTCATTTCGCATTCTGTTTTATCTTATTCTATTTTACATAGTTAACATACTGTATATCGGTCATTTCTTGAACCATTTGGCTACTTTAATTTATTATTTATTTTATGTCTTAAGTATATAGTATGTTGCACTGTTGGCCTGGCCTGAGACTAAATACTTGAATTGCAGACATTTACGCTGTGGCTAATGTGCATATGACAATAAAGCCTTTGACACCTGAATCTTTGAACCGTCTGCCTTTTGATAAAAGCCCCAAATGACCTATCCACAGGCCATCACCATAATTTGATTAAAGTTATATCTGGGACATTTATATTTCTTATTTTTTAAGTATTATATTATGTATTATACCTTTTGAGTTATTCACGATGTATGTTTTCCAGGTGGAGCTCATCGTGAATCCATCCGATGAAGTGATCCCTCGGCTGCGGTCTGAATATGGTTTGGAAAGGCTGGATTTCGTCTTCATGGACCACTGGAAGAAATGCTACCTCCCTGATCTGCAGGTAACTAGAACAAATAATAAGGGTATTTAAATATGAGTTAAGCTGAATGTTTACTTACAATTGAAAGCTACTTAAATAGTTTATAATAGCTATAATCCTTTCCATTGTTACCTGGTCAACTGCCTTGATAACTGCCTCTGTGTGTGTGTGTTACAGATGTTGGAGGGTACTGGTCTGCTGGGAAAAGGGTCTATGATCGTGGCCGACAACGTGCTGTTCCCTGGGGCGCCAAAGTTCCTCAGATACATTCGGAAGAGCGGCCTGTACGAGTGGAAGGTCCACCGGGCCACACTAGAGTACAGCCGAGGCATCAGGGACGGCATGGCTGAGCTGGTGTTCCAGGGAATCAAGTAGACCATGCAGACTGGGACATCATCACACACTACAAGTCAGATATACTACAATAGAGTGGCTGGCAAAGGATGAATTCATTACGGTAAAAACATTTGTTAAACTAAATTGTAATGGTAAAGACAGTTGTTAAATCTCAGAAAGAGTTAAATTCACCATAACATTGTGGCATGTCAGTGTGTTATATTATGAAGTTGCATTGTATCTGTTAACTAACTTCCTGCCAGCACCCCCATCGGCTAAAAAGGAGAATGATTAGTGAAAGAAACTGTCATTGGTACAACCCCATTGCATCTTGTCTTTATACAGAAATAAAAACCATTATACCTGCTTAGGATCTTTGTCTCAAAATATTGTGTTAACATAACCCCCACAAAAAACAAAGTCAACCATTACATGTTCAAATGATTTCAAATATGAATTGTTGATGAAATAAAGTCAATTTGTAGAGAGCGGCACATCTTAAATTCACCTACCCCTTTATCAGTAGTGGAATCAAGTCAAACCACACTCGATAGAACCAGGTTACATTTTTGGTGTTTAAAACAACAAAAATAATTCAAGTGTAGACAACAGAAAAAACATGGATTCATCAAAATGAGTTAATTTAATACAAAATATTAAGGCTTCTGTTCATTTCAATACAAATAAAAAAGTCTTAGTAAGTCACCTGTGAACATAAAAATGAGAATATTTGGATGGACATTTTATACTGACATTCTTCCAAAGTAATGCCAGCCCTTACCCTTGACATAGTGAAGAAATATGAAGATGAATTGCAATATTGCATTGTATGAAAATAATACTATTTAACAAGCTTTTCGTAGGATGCCAATCAAGAATATGATACCAGAAACAAAACATTAGCAGCATTCTCAACACTATAAAACAGCATCATATAATATGGTGGTAAAGTATCTGTGAGTCTTCTTCATAGGTAACAAATTATGTAGCTGACTAAACTGTTGATTGTGCTCAGTCAGCTGTTTGGAGAAGTAACACATGACTGAAGATACCACAAGGTCAAAGTTTTAATGAGAGATCACTTGGCTTAATTATACTGCTGCCATAGCATGGGTGTGTGTGTCCGACTGATCACAAACCAGCAGGACCTTGTGTGTGTGTCCTTGTGTGTGTGTGTGTGTGTGTGTGTGAGCACAGGGTGGCAACACTCACATCTAGTTCAACAGCGTTCAGAGCCTTCAAAGGCAATTGGCAGCTTCCAAAGTACTTTTTGCTGGATTCACCCAACATCCTTTGACTCAACTATATGTTTGTCCTGTTTGCACAAAGAAATAAAAAGACATCTGTGACACAGACTGTGCAGCTGCTGTGTTTTCGGGTGGGGAGTAAAAATCCAGTGCCAGACATCGCTGGAGACTAAAATGTTCCTTTGCCTTAAATCATCCATTGTCCTTGGTCTTGATCCGGTCCCTCCATGTCCACCTGATTGAAATAAAAACAGTCAGATTAAAGACAAGTATTTCTCGGTTCAAGGAGAGGAAAAGTAGCAGAACAACTCAAATAACACTTATTGCAATTGCCCTGTACACAAGTCTTGTTTCAGTTTGAAAAGCATCTTATAACCTTAGGACCTAATGATGGGAGTTTTTTTTACCATAAAATATATATATATGTAAAGTACAAAGTATGTAACGCTTTAAAAAAGTGGTATGACCTCAATGGGAACCCCTGTGAATGTTCTACGCATCATACTTGCATTGGTTTCAAACAGGACCTGCACCTTTATGTGTGAACGCAACTTCAGAACATACAATGCTATGGTTTTCCTATTTTTTCTTTAACAATACAATTAAGAGGGGTTATAAGGGAGATTGAATATTCCATCCTGAGACCAAATGTTACGCACAGTCATTTACTGTACTGCTTTCTTGACTGCCAAGTAAGGACAAGACTTTCTGAAAATCATAAATCAAAGCACCTCATTGATCTCTCCGTCATCAGGTGACTCATTGTAATCATTCATCTCATCCATGTCCTGCATGTCCTCTTCATCTTCAGAGTCTTCCTCGCTGTCCTCTTCATCCTCGTCATCCTCCTCTTCCTCGTCTTCATATCCTGCCTGCGACACAGTAAAGCAAGGAGAACATCTTAACACTGTTTTCATACAGTGGCTTGGTGAAAGTCCAGAGCAGCATTTTAATAAAAAAATGCCCCTGCTGATAATATGTTGAATAGCAATACATTACCTCAAAAACAGGTTTCCCAATGGGCATGAGGTTGTTGTCTTTCTCAGCAATGCTCTGCAGCTGAGAGAGACAAAGACCACAATACAATATTACAGTTTAAGTCACTTTAATTACAGTTTTTTTCTCCTCTTTCAGTCTAATAAAAAACATGTCCACTAAATGTCTTGATTTTGAATGTGTGTGATAAACTGAAGGATGAAGGACATGAATAATATGTATAAATGTAAGTCATACAATGAATAATTTAGGCAAGATTTCTCCTTCAAAATACGTGTGTTGCATTGGACGTCCATGTATTCTAGTGCAATTTCAGAAGTGTTTCTTTATAGGTTTGTTAGAGCCACAATGAAGTCAGGGATATTATTTCGAGTCATAATTTGATAAATGATTTAATGATGGAAAATGATTTATATTGCCATGGTGAATATGTTTTGATGAAGTGATTGTTTATTTTATATCGTAAATATGATCTGTTTCCGTGTACCTTCCGGTGTGTATTTAAGTGAGGTAATTGAGGACAGCCGGCGTGCTCGGAGACCTGATGAGATGGGGAGCGGAACAGTTTTTCGACCGCAAATTGCAGACAGAAATTAGTGTTGCAAATTGGACTGCAAACAAAGTATAGTTTAGTTTATATAGGAAAGCATACCGCCGAAATATTGTTTAAAGATTTGTTATTTTGAGACTATTTAAGTCAATACTTTTTTGTTAATAAATTACATATTTTTGACTGAAAACCTTCGGCTGCCTATTGTTTTGGATTGCGTGTCGTCAACCCCGCTCTATAGTGGCAAGAGGAAACCCTTGATGCCATTACAAGGTTGATAAAAGAGTTTAGAATTAGCACAATCTTAAAACATGTAGAGCAGTGAAATGCAACATACCCATTAATGCAATTGTAATATTAAATCAAAGTTAACACATATAATAGGAAAACACTTACAGGTCCTACATAAGTAAATTATGCTAGGTTGTAAATGCAGGGCTTTTATTTAAAGTATTTTCAGTTGTTGTTGTTGTTGTTGTTGTTAGCACTTTTTCTAAATGATCTGAACACTTCTTCCACCCCAGTTGAGCAGAGGTGTTTACCCAGGTCTGGTGCTGCTGCTCCTGCTGGTGCAGCTCGGTCTCGTCCACACAGGGCCGGTCGAGGTTGAACCAAAGGGTCTCGGTTATCCGGGGGAAGAGAGAGGGGAACAGCGTGGACATGTCTGTCACACAGGGAAAATAATAAACACTGTGTCAATCAGCAAGAGTTTAGCATGGGTTTTGGGATAATAGTTGGCGAATTTACACAAAAACAAAGAGTTAAATCATGTTTCTAAAATAATTAAGTCATGATGAAGTATACATAGGATGTGGATGGACATGGTACGTTAACGTAACAAAAACCTAACGTACGATTTAAAGTCTTTATGTCTCATGACGTGCAAAATAAAACATGTCCCCGCTAATATTCTAGGTGAAAAATAACGCAGTATTATGAGGTTTTTACCCGTAATTCAGAGCGAAATTATACAAAGTGTAAGTACCTGCCAATCCGTCGCCCAAGCTTTCAAAAATTTAAAAACACATTAAACCGGAAACGACTGGTGTTCAACTGTCAATGTTTCCGATGTCTTCTAATCCAGTGTCCCTTCGCAATGGTTCCACTTTGGTGTCGGTTGCGGTGGCAGCTGTAACATTAGAGAGTTGAAGCAAAAACATAGATTTACGTTTGTTATTGTGTTAATAGGGGTGTTTGTGAGCAGTTTATATACCAATACAATTATTCCCTGATGTATTTTAATAGATAATAGGGAATGAAGGAATGTAGGAAGTTTAAATGCTTAATGTTTTGTCGTTGGATAGTTACTAAATTACAATGTGTAGGTACCTTCTTTGAGTATCTCCATTTCCAGCAACTTTATTTTTGAAGAATTACTCTTATTTATTTTTGGCAGTTTAAATAGCCTACATTTTGATTCTAATAATGTTGTACTTTCATTTAAATATAATGTTGACTGCACCTTTTGTATAACAGATAACCACACTGTGGTATTATTACCTTTACTTTTAAATCATAATAGCCAATTAGTTGTACAGCTAGGTAAGTAATAACAAAAGACAAAACTAAAATAACTTGTTTAGTTTCATTTCATTTTTTTATTTAGATCTGGGATTAAAAGACTAATGTCACAGCAGGATTTGGAAAAACCTGCCCACGCTTTTATCTTCAGTAGACTCGACTACTGTGATGGTGTCTTTGCAGGTCTCACTAAAAGATCTATTAGAAAGCTGCAGCTACAGTAATTCAGAACACTGCTGCTCGAGTCCTCACTAACACTAAGAAAGTGGATCACATCACTCCAGTTCTGAGGTTTTCACACTGGCTTCCTGTATGTCAAAGAATTGATTTCAAAAATATTGCTGCTGGTTTATAAAGCTTTGAATGGTTTAGGCCGAAAATACATCTCTGATCTACTGCTAAATTATGAACCATCCAGATCTCTCAGGTCTTCAGGGACTGGTCAGCTTTCTGTCCCCAGAGTCAGAATTAAACATGGAGAAGCAGCGTTCAGTTATTATGCCCCAAATATCTGGAAATAACTACCAGAAACCTGCCGGTCTGCTGCAACTCTGACTTCTTTTCAATCCAGGCTGAAGACTTTTCTTTTTGCCGCTTTTAATTGAACTATATCTTAAACTGCACTGTAACTTTTATTCATGTTTTTCTTTTAATGTTTATTTCATTATCTTTGCTTTTTAATGACTTTTTAAATACCATTGTCTTAATGTCTTTCATTTTTGTAAAGCACTTTGAATAGCCTTGTGTTGAAAAGTGCTCTATAAATAACTTGCATTGCCTTGACTTACCATCACGGTCACTTTGCAAAGTTTACAACTGTCTGGACAACTTCCAGAGTCACTTTCAAAGAGATAAACCATCAGAAAAATTTCCCCACTAATAGACACATGGGAAAAAAGCTGCTAGCACAAAGTACAGACATTCAAACCCCTTGGTTTTATTAGGCTTCTCATAAATAAAATCAAACTGTACATTGACACAATCTCCTATTCAAACAATGGGAATGCAGAAATGATTCATATGTGTGACATCTTCTCTTCTATAAAAGCGTCATCTGAGGGCGTCCCCCTTGAACTTTAGCTACTGTAACTGCTGACACACACACACACAAATTAACCATCATTGGGATCACCAACACAGATGCAGCAGAAACTTATCTTAACTTCGCCCCTTTTTTCCTTTTATTATTGCTTTCCCAGGTCACACTACACATGACAACGCATGTGTGTGTGTGTGCGAGAAAACGAGCAGGGTAGACCTTGAGATAAGCCAAACCTTCCTCACAGTAAAATAAGATAAAGTTCAGATTGTCACATAAGAGCTACATCATTCTCATTCCTTCTTTCTATCTTGAACACATGCACATGCACGCACACACACACACACACACACACACACACACACACACACACACACACACACACACACACACAAGAAGCCCTGGTGCAGACTTTGGACTTTGGAGACATGTTCACACATACCCGGGTGGATGTGTGTTTTCTAACTCCTGTTTGGTCTTGAGAAGCGTGTAAGTGGTGTCTAGAGACACTGGTTTTGAGGATCATCTCTTCAGGAAGGAATCATCACAAAATCTGACAAGGTAAAACACATTTCTTCACGTTTGCTTGTAGAATTCTTCTTATTCTTCTTACAGTAAAATGATTACAAAAATGCATTGGTTGTTTGGCTGAATTCAATAAGAATGTTTAAAGGTTTTTTGTACAATTTCTGTTACATTCACAGGTCTTGCTTTCCATTGTGTTTGTTAGGTTAGATTTAGCTATATTTTATTTTTGACTACATGTGTCTTTGCAATAGTGATCAAATGTGTTTTAATACTTATACATTAGTCACCCAGTAATGAAAAAAAAAACACACAATGTGAGTTAAATGTATTAAAATGAAAAGAAAAATTATTTTATTTTACATAGACATTAATAAGTGAGGCATCAGTGTGTATCATGTCAAAAATATGTTTAGCGGGCTCAATATCAACCTTTAAATATGGCAAAATCAAAACGTAAAGTTAAACATTTAAGTATTAGCATCCCTCGAAGAGTCACAATGTTGGTGTTGTTGACTGTAATACATAAGGTTTCTATCTTAATTCATTTATAGCGTATTATTATTTTTCTAAGTATTTGAAGTGCACGTGTTTCATGGTATGTTATAGTAATGCTAATATGGATGCAGCTTACATGTATTTGTTGTTTTGTGTCTTTGTATAGCTCTTACGTTGGTTTTCGGTGTTTACAATACATTCTAAATCATCAGTTAAGTGTATGACCATCTTTAGGAGGGATATGCTATACATTTAGTAAACAATATGATATTCTCTGTAACTAACCATCTACTCTGATGACAATGTGTTCATGTTTTCAAATGTTACCTTTACGCAAACAATCCAAATACCTAACGGTTGGAAAATCTTATTGACATTGATTTAAACGTTTTAGTGGTACCGTTATTTACCTATTTATCGATTGATGTATGCCTTTCTGCTGCAGAGCCATGTGGGTTATCCTGGCCCTGCTGCTAGCCCTCTCCAGTGGCGTCATGTCGCAGGACAAACTCAACGTGTGTATGGATGCCAAACACCACAAAGAAAAACCTGGCCCTGAGGGAGATCTTTACTCTCAGGTGATGAACACTCAAATGTCCCCAGAAAGTAACATTTTTGAGTATACTTTCCTTGAGTTTTTCTAATTTATGCTTCTTTATACTTCCACTAACTTTTGGCAGCAAATATTTTAATTTGTACTTGTATTTAACAACATTAGTACTTGAATATGAAGTATTGCAGAGTTATATTATAAATACAAAAACTAAATCAACTAATACATTATGATGTTCTGTTAATGAGGGAGATACCTGGCAGTAAACAAATTATTAACGTTTTCTCATCCTTTACCAGCTGCTAAATTAAAATAATAGACCCATTAATGCATAACTAACTATAAACCAGTGATATCATATTTATTATTTTATAAAAGGCCACTTTGGATAATGAGTACTTTTAGATTTGGCAATTAAGTATATTTTGATGCTTACACCTTTTTGCTAAAGTATCATTTTGAATGCAGGGCGTTTTACTCTCATTAAAACAATGCTGTTCAACAGCATAAAGTGAACCCCCTTTCCTCTCCCTCTTTCCAGTGTGCTCCCTGGCGTGACAATGCCTGTTGTACTGCCAACACCAGCACAGCAGCCCATAACGATAGCTCCTACCTGTACAACTTCAACTGGGACCACTGTGGCGTCATGAGCGATAAGTGCAAGAAACACTTCACCCAGGACACCTGTTTCTATGAGTGCTCACCACACTTGGGACCCTGGATACAGGACGTGAGTATTTGGCTGAAAGTCTCATTTGTATGTGTATACTTGCAACACTAGGTGGCAGCAAAAGAAGAAGAAGAAAGGACTGAAAGGGCTTCTCAGGAACGGTTAATTCATAATCAGTATGCTTCCATTAAAATAATAAAAAGATAACCAGCTAATATGTGGACACCTTTGGTTACTCCCCTGGCATATCACAGTATTGGTACTTTGAAAGCATTACGTTTAATTCTAGAAATATATCACATCTTGTGTGCTATATTTGTTTACTCTTGTACAACTCTTAGTGTTATATTTGTATTTGTATACTCTTGAGTTTTAATCTCAATGAGGCTTTTACTGGTTGAATATATAAAAAAACGCAATAAATAAATAAATAAAATGTGTGCAGGCGGATGAGAGCTGGCGTATGCAGCGAATTTTGGATGTGCCTCTGTGTAAGGAGGACTGCCACAGATGGTTTGAAGATTGCAAGGACGATTTCACCTGTAAGACGGACTGGCACAAGGGATGGGACTGGAGCTCAGGTAAGCACACACATACACACACAGACAGACACACACACACAAACACACACACACACACAAACTCAGAGCACAGACCTGCTCATATAAAAAAAAAAAAAAGCTTACATAGAAATCAAAAACATATGACTATCTATACACAGTACCATGAACCCACTTACTCATAAACACCTATAGAGATCTCCCATTGAATTTTTTCTGGCTTTCTGGCTAGAACTTTAAAAAAATCAAATTTCTTCAATTACTTTTTCAATTGCTAAATCTATCTTTTGTTGTCTCATTTGCGCCTACAGGTGTTAACAAATGCCCTGAAGGCAGCATGTGCAGAAAGTGGACGGAAGTATACCCTACAGCCAAGTCCATGTGTGAACAAATCTGGTCCAAATCCTACCTTTATACCACCCTACCAAACACCTCGGGCCGCTGCATGCAGCTCTGGTTCACAGGGACAAACCCAAACAAGAAGGTGGCTGAGTACTACCTTAACAACGCACAGCAGCATCAGAGCTTTGCCTTGACAACACTTCTTCTCATGGCTGGTGCATTTTTCTCTGTAATGATATAATAAAATGACTTATCCTGTATCGCCTCGGAGAGATCAATAAAACTGATTGCAAATGCCTTCCTTTTACTTTCTTGATGTCAATGAGCCTTCTTACATGCATGTTTTCTGTGTTTTGCATTTCTAAGTGCTATTCCGCATATCCTTATTAGTTTATTATTTTCATTGTAATCCAGTCATTTATTGTCCGTTCAACCACCATTATGTCAATTAAGCTGTGATTAATTTTCTAAATGGACAGTGGAAAATGTCCTTAGAGTTAGAATAATCGCCATTACAATTCAACCTGAACAAATACATAACAGTGTTCGATTGTCCGGTAACATTTAGTTTAACAGATTGACTTCTCTTTCAGGATTAAAGGCAAGGCAAGTTTATTTATAGCCTGTAAAGACACCATTACAGTAGTCGAGTCCACTGAAGATAAAAGCATGGACAGGTTTTTCCAAATCCTGCTGTGACATTAGTCTTTTAATCCTAGATATATTCTTTAGGTGATAGTAGGCTGATTTGGTAACTGTTTGAAAACAGTGACTTTAGCAACATCCCTCATTCAGTATCTCTACACAGCTGTAGGATATATCTGTGCAAACTATGGATCAATGTATTAACCCATTCACATCCTCAAACACTAGTTCAATAAATGTACAACTGACCCAGGATCTGCATTGATGGAAAATGTTTCTCCACACTGGGCCACATTGATCACACCACCACTCTGAACCAGCCAGTGGTTAGAGGGCTCCAATTATGTTCCAGTCCTTCGAGTGTGTGTGTGTGTGTGTGTGTGTGTGTGTGTGTGTGTGTGTGTGTGTGTGTGTGTGTGTGTGTGTGTGTGTGTGTGTATGTGTGTGTGTCTATTGCCTCCTCTATGTTTAAGAGTGTTTTAATGTCTCTGTGTGGGTATAAGTGGCATGAGATGTGAGTCAGTGCCACGTCTGAATTGGGAAAAGTAACTGTCATGTACTCTGTACTTTTATATTCAAGTTCTGATGTAATCAATCTATTAATCTACAATTTGTACAGGTCAGAAACTGGAAAAATAAATGTTACTTTTACAGTATGTGACTTAAGTTCCTAAAAGCTATGCTAACGTCTTGACGAATTGTTTGCAAAGCCGAGTCTGAAAAGCTGAATGTGACCCCCAGTGGCTTAAAGAGATCTATCTAATAAAAAACTAGCCACTGTAATGGGAAAAAATGATAGAAAAGGTCTATATAAGTAACAGAATGGCATATTTTCTGACCAGAGCATCAGGCAAAACCTTTCAAAAGTTGTTAAGCACTTAACATGGCTAGACTTAAACTGGTGTTTCAGAGTTACCAGACGCAAAAACAAAAGATTTGCTAATTGGTTATATTTAAGATGAATTGCTGACAAAGTAGTTTTATTACGATGTGACATCTTGCAACACGCTTTTACGATCCCTGAATGCAGACATTTTGTTATGCCACATATTTTTACAGTATTTTACAGTCAACTCACTCGTATAAACACACATACACACACAGGCGTCTGCACAGTGTGATGCCATAGTCAGAAATAGGATTGGGATGGCTGCTGTCCCTTTGGCTATTAATACACAGCTTCTCTGAGGTCATTGGCAACTATCACACACACACACACACACACACACACACACACACACACACACACACACACACACACACACACACACACACACACAAACACA